CAGCTATATATATAAACTAAGGATATCTTGTACTCTCTTTTTTTTAAATGAAGAAAAATCACTGATCTGCTCCCGAAGATGTAGACATCTTTGTCGAATCTCATTAAATTTGTGTTTTCTTTATGATTTGTGTCGATTCTTGCATTTTTTTTTTACCCTAAAATTCTACAACTTCAAACCAAGACATCCAGTAACGCTGGATCAAGATCCAACACTCTTATCAAACAATAACAATATGCTAACAAGCATTAGAAATACAACATATATTAACAATAACAATTATCATAAAAGCTAATATCATCAAACAATCCAAAAAATTGCAAAACAAATCATACTACAATTGCAAAAACGTCTTCAATCTTGAGTAAGCAGTGTCACAATTATTAAGAATAAGTGAATGAAATACTGAAGAATGAATACATTTACATATGCCACCTAATAGTTTTCCAATATTAAAGAAGAAGGCTCCGCCGGGTATATAAAAAACCTAAGAAATTACTCTAAGCTTCAGTTCTCACCACCTCTATGAATGGCTATTACAGCTTCATCATTACTCCCACTCTCCGCATAACGGCAACCGCAATCTTCCCCTTCCAAACTTTGAGATTCAAATGAAGTCTGCAACTTCTTCATTGCAGCAGCATCGGCATCGGCATCGGCATCGGCGACATCATTCTCACCAAGAAAGCTTGGTTGGTTGGTTGAAGAGAGCAGTCTTGCCCACATTCTGTCTGTGATTACAACCTTATTCTGTCTTTCAGTAACTCTCTGCAACAGTAGATTTGAAGCATGTAAAAATGACAATATGTTAAAATAATTAAAAGGGTTTTACATATATACCGTATAATTCTTATGTATATACATAATTAAAGCTTAAACTTTGATATTCAGTTGCATGATTCTGTCGTGTGATAATCGCATCAAACCATATCCATAGAAAAGTAAATTTCATTTTAGAAAAATTAATATTAGTGACATTTTTAATGTGGTAATAACAATTTGAGTGCATATACTTATATAATAGAATTTAAAGGTTACATATATAAATATATAAAAAATTGTGTAGTGCAAATGTAAATCCCCTAATATATCAATAGATGGGAGGTTGTATTGCATGTCATAACTTCATATTTTACATATACGCCGTCTTACCTATGCTATAAAAAAAAGGTGTATCTCAATATTTAAAAGTTAAAAAGGTGATATTTTTTATGTGATAGGTGTATCTTAATATTTAAAAGTTAAAAAGGTGATATTTTTGATGTGATATGAAAGATGTAGATGGGTACAAATGTAAAAAAGTAAACTTCAAGCGCGTAGGAATTGGTTGGTATGTATATAAGTAAGAAATATTACGTGCTAACAAAGTAGGTGTGAATCGGTGAGGATGAGTAGACTTACATAGAAGGGTATATAGGCATGCCTCCCATTAACAGGTCCGACCGTAAAACCTGTATAACCTGCCATGGCGCCATGGATGGCGCTATGAGCCAGCAAAGTGCAGTACACGTTATCAGATGCGTTACTGGGAACCGCACGAATCATGTAGGTTGGATCTGCAAAATCAACAGTCAGGATTGTGTTTCTCGCACAAAATTCATCAAAAGAGAAGCTTAATTATGCAACTAACCTATATATTTAAGATTTATTGTCATCTTCTTGTTTGTGCTTGAGAAGTGATCCTGCAGAGCGCAGAAAAATCAAAATAATATAAACATGAAAATAATTGCTCAGTAAAAGATAAAAATTGAAGGCATCTCTTGAAAGAATTTGTCATGATACAACCAATTATTTTAAGTTGTTAGATTCAGATCGATAAGTCCGGATTAGAACGTATGTGATAGAATCAAGGGAAATTTACATACATGCCACATAACTATAATATATTTACATATCTAACACGTAAAGTTTGATATTTATAATAACATCTTGGTATCATAAACTTATGCATGAAAAGGTGTAGGTGATGGATATGTAAATACATAAGAATTGCTTGCTATGTATGTAAATATGCCCTAAAATCAAATGCTTGGTAAGATTTTATGGGGGTCTAAGATGATGGTTCAGGCATTAGACTGGAGTTAAGTTAAATCCATGGCTAAATCCTAGTAAAATTATGCTACCAAACACCCCCTAAAAGCAGGGGATCTTCTTCTCCTCTAGCCATGATTGCCCATCTTGGGTTTTCCATGTAAATCCATGTGTTACTATCTTTACATCTTTTACCACTCATAGGGTTAATTTTGTAACATAAAATTTGCAAAAACTTACCTTGATTTTCTGAGACAACCACAAACCAACATCAAGGAGTAATTTATTTCCTGAAGCATCTTGGTGTTCCGCAGACCGCATGCTCTCTGCAATAAGTCCTTGCCCTGCTCCCTCTGCCACAACAACAACCATATGCCCATTCTCCGTCAGCCTCTTCTCAACGAAGTCCAAAAGCCCTCCTTTTCCTTCCAGATAAAATGGCGATTCAGGAATCAAGCAGCAGTCCTGGAGGAGGAGAACATGCAGAAAAAAATGAGTAATGTAAAAATAAATAAATAATGCTTTTAGTAGGTGTTATAATGAAAAATTTAAAGAGCTTAAAAGGAATGTTGGAGGAGAAACAGAAAGACAAAGAAGTGCAGCATACCACATCTCTGCTCGCAAGAGTTGCATGCATGGCGATGAAACCTACACCAAAAATTATTTTTTAAGTTTAAATTTCAGATAAACTAGAATAAAGATTGAAACTTTTGCAGAAAAAATCAGGCTTTGCAACTCCAAGAGCATTGCTAAATATTTTCACGTTTCAGAAAAATGACGCAGCAGTAATTACATGCAACAAAGAAGGGTAAAATTTAGTTACAGAAATCAGTTAAGTATAGAATAATCCAATTAACCAATCAACAAGCGAAAACTCATAGCTCATTGAACCTATGACATTAGACTGTCCTCATCAAACTTACAAGTTCATATATTAAAAAAATTAGAAAGATTTGCAAACACACCCCTCATTTCCTATATATTTACATATCTAAACTCCAAACATCAATTTTTACATGCATGCCAGATTTACTTATGCAAGAAAAGGTGTATTTAACTTCTTAAAAGTTAAAAAGATGGTATTTTCGATGTGATATGAAAGAGTTAGGTAGTATAACTGTAAAAGGTAAAAGTTTTGATGTCAGATATGTTAATAAATAAGAACTGTGTGGTATGTATCATGTATGTAAATTTCCCAAAAAACTATATGATCAGAGATAGGAACTAACCGCTGTAGCGACCCATCAGCTTCACAACACCTATACCATTCTCAATGCTCTGGGCTTCCACATGTGCTGCATTGATAGCTCGTTGAGCTTCTTCAACAGCAGTATCAAAACCAAATGATTTATCAATCACCTGATTCAGTAAGTAAAATTAGCAAACATAAGATAATCAAATTAACCAATTAACGACAGAAAAGGCGTGCGAAAAACATACCGCAATGTCATTATCAATCGTCTTCGGAACGCCAACAACAGAAACTTTGAGACCTCGCCTTCTGATTTCCTACAAAATGGTACAGTTCAAGCTTTATTTGGCCTTATTATTGCATCTTTACTCTTGAAATTTAGGTGTTGTATGTGTAAATACATTAGAATTGAGAGGTATGTATGTAAATCCTCCAAAGATATATCATCTATCATTACCTCAAATATAACAGAGGCTCCTTTCTGAGTACCATCTCCACCAATAATATACACCTATAAAAATAAGCAAAACCATTGAATTCATGATTAAGAGCGAACATAAAGATTATATACGTGTTCCTCAGAAAATATGGAATAGAATAGTGACACGATGTTGTGCGCCACACCTGATTGATCCCACGGTCTTCAATGTTATCAACTATTTTCGAAGTGCTATGACCGCCTCGAGATGTGCCTAGGATGGTGCCGCCCCGCTTGTGAATGTCATTGACACTTTTGGGCGTCAGAGTAATTGTATTGCGGGCGTAGAAACCCTTGTATCCTCCCTACAAGGATTCTTCTTAAAAAATTTGAAGAATAAAATGAAATGGTACTGTGTGCTGTAAAGTTTAAAATGTTTAGTTGTGAAATTTGATTTTTGCACTACAAAGAAAAGAAGTAGCATGAACTTACGTCAAAAGGTATTCAATATATGTGGATTATTTCATTTAAGAGGTTCTACGAATCCTTATTATATTTTCGATCGCTCCAATTTTATTATTTTTTTTTTCTTAGCGTGGAGGCTTATCTTCTGCTAGTGTTAGAAGATATTGGGATGCAATTCTCCACAAACAAACCACAATAAAATCGGCAAGGGTGAAGTAGCCATTAGTTAGATGAACCTGCATGAAATTCTATGTTTTTATGTGTTCATCTTCTTTACAAATTTCTAATTTTTGGCTCTCTATATTTGAATTAGATTTCTCCTATTTCCTAATATAAAATAACTCTTAAGAAAATGATGTAAACATAAGAAATTTACATATGTAGCACACAATTCATATGTATTTACATATCTCATACCTAAACTTCCATAATTATATACATAACGCTTTGGTGTTTTAAACCTATGCATGAAAATACATATTTCACCTTTTAAAAATGATAATAGTGTTATTCTTTATTTGATATTAAATATTTGAGTGCTATGTGTAAGACTCTAAAAATGAAAGTCTAGGCGTGAGATAAGTAAATAGATAAGAATTGTGTGCTATGTACGTAAGTGTCCCTATAAAATATAGGACCTGCCTGTTAAAATAACTCAAACAACATGAATGAGACATATTAAGAGCATAGTTTTCTTGATATCAACTCACATAAGCATCAAAATAAACCCTAAAATACTAAGGTAAATTCCTATGCTAAACTCCATGACTTTATAATAAGCAGTGGTATCCTTACCTCAATGCCAAGGATTTTGCTAACTCCATACATATGATACAAGCCACAAACTATTTCTCTTATCACCGTGTTGAGTCCCGGGCAGAGACCCCCACACGTTACAATACAAGCATGCACCTTCTCCGACTCGAAGTAAACCTAAAGAGCACGAGGAATAGAATCACCATTAATTTAAAAATTGCATGAGAGCACGAACCCGTGTGTGAAAGACGACTTACCCGTTGACGAGGCCCCGCACGTCGAAAATGAGTTCCTCTAGGACTGTTCTTGTGCACAACAATCTACAAAAGTTTTAATTTCAGGACATAATAAAGTAGCGAACAAACTCACATTCTTTGAAATTACAAAATTGGAATTTCTGAACCAAAACTTGAGAATTTAAAAGAATAAAAGGCTCAGATAATGAGTTAGAACTGCAATGGAGGATGAAAATGTCACCTTTTGTGCAACTGTATCACCCTCATTAACAAAATACTGCCTGAGAATAAAAAGCAGATAGCTTTTGTGTCAAAAAGAAATTTTGATTAAGGAAATTAGTTCCAATTGAAATTAGTTGGATATAACAAACATACTTGACGACTGAATATGCCGGATTATCCTGGAGAGGATTTGGATATGTCTGCATGTATGAAAGACATATATGAGCTACATAACAGCATAAAGATATAGCCAAAACATCCAAACTATAATTTTTAACTGTAAATGTATCAATTAGCAGAATCAAGACCAGAATTAGCACAAGAACGTTGATAAAACATCATCCCAAATCGGTTCCATGCATTAAACTCTATATAACAGACTGAAAAAAACAATCCTTTTTTTTTTTTTTTACATCATCCCAAATCGGTTCCATGCATTAAACACTATATAACAGACTGAAAAAAAAGCAATCCTTTTTTTTTTTTTTTGACTTGGCAGATTCTAGATCATTATTGCCACAAAATCAAGAAAGAAAACATTTTTCAGGTCAAAACTGGTTCAGAAATCAAGAATTCAAGCCAAAACAGGCTAAAAGGCAAAATCAAACCACGAATAATTCTTTTAAAACAAAAGCGCAAGAGAACTCACAGGAAGACCAGAGATATAATCAGTCAAGTGAGGCACATCCTCAAGAACATAACCATCTTCCCCAAAGACAGACTTTGGTTCAGGCTTCCCTACAGGCACCACCACCTCCTTATCACCAGACCTCAAGTCCCCGTTGCACGTCGTCATAACCTTGACGGCCGAAAGCGAGCTCCTGAGATCAAAGATATGGTTCGAAATCTTCTGGTTCTGTTTCGATTCAGCGCAGTTTTTCTGAGGAAACGAAGAGGGAAAAGAGAGGGAACCCATACCAAGATTAGAACTTGAAAAACTCCGTTTGAATTCGAGAGAAGAAAAGAAGTTTCACATACAGTTCAGGGAAAAGCGCGCCTTTTATAAACGGGGAAGGGGATGGTTACGGAGACGAAGAGCTTCGAGATTTTCGGACTTCAGGGATTTGAAGTTTGAATAAAAGCGGCGGCTTTGGGCCTCCCATGGCTCCCGTGGAATCGGGGGTCCATAGATTGCGACGGTGGAGAAGAAAACAGGGAACTTTGAGCGAAGGAAAGGAGGATGGGAAGCTTCCAGGTGTCCGGAGATTTGAAGTCCATTGTGGTGGTTAATCTTCGTTCGTGGGTTGGTTTGGTGAGAACCATAGACGTGCGCAATTTAGGCGGAAGTGGAAGCTCGAATTGGTATTTGCCGTATGGAAATTTCATCAAAAATTTTGGGGCAGTATGGGAAAAATAGTTTTGAAAATATTTGCTTGAGATATATATTATTCGTAATATATTTTCTTCCTATTCCGCGGAGCATTCTGATTGGGCATCTTGAGATACTTCCTTTTATAATTTTCTAAAGATTCAATTGCAATATAGTTAATAACTAAAAATATGTTTTTTAGTATGTTTTGAATATATATAACTGAAGTAGCATCAATACCTTGTTATCAACAAGCACAAATCTAGATGCATTTCTAAATTTTAATTCAAGTTCAAGTTCAAGTTCATCTAGGCCCTCATTTCAACAAATTTATAGTTCAACTAATCATTTCGACAGATTAGAGTTGGGATCAGACTAGATTGAACAGTTAAAGTATACTCAAAGACTTATGGTGCATCAACTTGATAGTCAAACAATCTCAAAGTTTAATTATGTTATAATGCATATGATTATAATCGAGTTATAATAGGCATAGAATAGTATTAGAGCTACAATTGGTACTAGGGTTGTCAAAACGGTTCATTGTTTACTAACAGCTCGTGTTCAACTCATTAAGAAACACGTGTTTGATACGTTTGTTAAGTTAAAGAGCCGAACATTAACATTTTTTTGTGCTTGATATATAAATGAGCCGAACACGAACAAATATTTGTTCGTTTATGTTCGACTCATTTTGGCTCGAAATACTGCTCATCAATTATATATATACAATTACATGTGTAACAAGTATACTGTACACCTCAGAACATATAAGCTATAGTTTATCTCCATACTATTTTGATCAAATTATTACGAATACTTATTAGTCAAACATCACATCAAAATATTTCAAAGTAAACATTCATAACCTTGAAAAATCACTAAATATTCCATTTGTATGGAAACCAAGCCCATGGCTTGAGTCATAAAATTTTCAATCTTCAATTTATTGACTACTACCCTTAACATCCTACGGTTGAGTGATTGGGGTTTGTCAAAATGACTCTTTGTTTCGGGACAACTAATGTTTGGTTGGCTAAACAAACAAGTCAAACATGGACATACTTTTTGTGTTTGAAATATAAACGAACCGAACACAAACAGTGATACTTTTGAACGAGTCGAACACGAACACAAGCTGAGCTTGAGCTCGCTTGTGTTCGGCTCGTTTGCGCCAGCTCAGCTTGTGTTCGGCTCGTTTGCGCCCTTAATTGCCGAAATGTGTTCGTCTGGTAGTGGTCACTGATAGTTGTTGGTGGTCATTGGCTCTAAGAATGTATTATTGGTCTTTTCTCTTTTTTACCTCCTCATGTTAAGAATGAGGTCTTATTTATAGAATTTTATGTGGTAATAACAATTCAATCTTATAAAAAATAAGAATGAGATTTTAACTTGGAAAAATTACAAACTGCTTTTAAATAGAAAACACATACAAAATCATCTTTGAAATACTTATATAAAATAAATAAATAAATTTCCACTTTTTTTTT